TCTTGCGCTTAGCAAGAAGTTTCCTGAGTCGTCGGGCATGTTGGATTGCCCTCTAGAGGTCGAGATTGCGGACGACCGGTCAGTGAGAGCATCAGAGGTCTTCAGGGACTGTGTTTTGAGACTGTTTGAGGAGCGTTATCTGGTAGATCTGGTTCCCATACCTTTGCGGGGGAACAAGGTTATTATTGGTATGGATTGGCTAAGCCCCAATGGGGCAGTGATTGACTGTGCACAACAGTTGGTGCGGGTCAGGACCTCAAGTGGGGGAGCTGGTGATTCAGGGCGAGAGGCCACAGCGAGGACCAGCTTTATGTTCAGCAGCGAGAGCTAGGCATTACCTTCAGCAGGGTTGCGCAGGATTTGTTGCCTATGTGATGGATACCCGGGAGATGGGTAAGGCCACGGTGGGCGATGTGCCCGTGGTACGAGAGTTTGCGGATGTATTCCCCGAGGAGTTGCCTGGGATACCTCCGGAGAGGCAGGTAGAGTTCAGGATCGAACTAGTCCCTGGTGCGGCTCCGATAGCCAAGGCACCGTATCGGTTGGCTCCTCCTGAGATGCAGGAGTTGTCTACACAGCTGCAGGAGCTGATAGACAAGGGATTCATTAGACCGAGCAGTTCACCCTAGGGAGCCCCGATTCTGTTTGTGAAGAAGAAGGATGGGTCGCATCGGATGTGTATAGATTATAGGGAGCTGAATAAGGTAACGGTGAAGAACCGTTACCCACTCCCGAGGATTGATGACCTTTTTGACCAACTACAGGGAGCATCTTAGTTATCCAAGATTGATTTGCGTTCAGGGTATCATCAGATGAGGGTCAGAGAGGAGGATGTGCAGAAGACTGCGTTTCGGACGCGTTATGGCCACTATGAGTTCGTGGTGATACCTTTCGGGCTCACCAATGCTCCTGCTGCGTTCATGGACCTCATGAACCGCGTGTGCAGACCGATGTTGGATCGGTCTGTGATAGTTTTCATCGATGACATCTTGGTTTACTCCAAGACGCGAGAGCATCATGAGGAGCACTTGCGAGAAGTGTTGGGTACTTTGAGAAGGGAGAACTTGTATGCTAAGTTCTCCAAGTGTGAGTTCTGGTTGCACGAGGTGCAGTTTCTTGGGCACCTTGTCAACCAGGACGGGATATCGGTTGATCCGGCCAAGGTTGAGGTCGTGATGAGGTGGGAGGTTCCGAGGTCTCCATCTGAGATTCGGAGCTTTCTGGGACTGGCAGGTTACTATCGGAGGTTCATTCAGGACTTCTCCAAGATAGCCGTGCCCCTGACCCGGTTGACGAGGAAAACCGTGGTCTTTCGATGGGGGCCTGAGCAGCAGGCTGCATTTGAGATATTGAGACAGAGATTGTGCGAGGCGCCAATCTTAGCTTTGCCAGAGGGCATGGAGGATTTTGTCGTATACTGCGATGTGTCCATCTCGGGTTTGGGCGTAGTTCTGATGCAGAGAGGACATGTTATTGCTTACGCTTCGAGGCAGCTGAAGCCTCACGAGGTGAATTATCCGACGCATGATTTGGAGCTGGGGGGGTGTTTTTGCCCTCAAGATTTGGCGTCATTACCTCTACGGGGTCCGTTGTACCATTTACACGGACCACAAGAGTTTGAGGTACCTCGTCGATCAGCCGAATCTGAACATGAGGCAGCGTCGGTGGTTGGATGTGGTGAAGGATTATGATTGCGAGATCCTTTACCACCCGGGGAAAGCCAATGTCGTTGCCGATGCGCTTAGCCGCAAGGCAGCGCCGATTAGGGACATCTGTCTGAGGATGACAGTGGTGACTCCACTGTTGGAGCAGATCCGGGAGGCTCAGCAGGAGGCTATGAAGGAGGAACATCGGAAGAGCGAGCGTATAGTGGGTTAGGTTTCCTCCTTCGACTATGATAGCCGAGGATTATTGACTCTTCACCGTAGGGTGTGGGTCCCTTATCATGGAGGCGTGCGCCAGATCCTGATGGAGGAGGCACACAAATCCAGATTTTCTATCCATCCCGGAGCGACGAAGATGTATAGAGATCTTCGTCTTGATTATTGGTGGCCCTGCATGAAGCGGGACGTAGCATGGTATGTGGAGCGGTGCTTGACCTGCAGGAAGGTCAAGGCCGAGCACCAGAGGCCACACGGCAAGATGCAGCCGTTCGATATTCCCATGTGGAAATGGGAAGATATTACCATGGATTTCATCACCAAGCTTCCCAGGACTGCACAGGGAGTGGATTTGATTTGGGTAATCGTGGATCGGTTGACCAAAAGTGCCCATTTCATACCGATCCAGGAGAGCATCTCGGCCGAGAAGTTGGCCGACATCTATATCCGAGAGGTAGTAGCTCGGCACAGAGTGCCAGTTTTAGTGATTTCCGACAGGGATGTGCGGTTCACTTCCAGGTTTTGGAAGAAGTTTCATGATGAGCTAGGTACTCGTCTGCATTTTAGCACCGCCTTTCACCCGCAGACGGATGGTCAGAGCGAGCGGACCATCCAGACGCTAGAGGATATGCTGCGGGCATGTGTTTTAGATTTCGGAGGTAGCTGGGATACCTACCTCCCGGTGACGGAGTTATCGTATAATAATAGCTATCATGCGAGCATCGACCGTCCTCCTTTCGTGATGTTGTACGGGAGGAAGTGCAGGACCCCGATATGTTGGGGTGAGGTGGGCCAGAGGGTCATGGGGAGCACCGAAGTGGTGCTCAAGACGACAGAGAGGATTCAGCAGGTCAGAAGCAGGCTTCAGACTGCTCAAAGTCGGCAGAAAAGCTATGCCGACAAGCGCCGTTCAGACCTGGAGTTCCAGGTCGGGGATATGCTTCTCCTGAAGGTGTCACCCTGGAAGGGCGTCATCCGGTTCAGGAAGCTGGGCAAGTTGGGCCCCAGGTACATTGGACCCTTCAGGGTTATAGCCCGGGTGGACAAGGTGGCGTATAGACTAGACCTGCCAGCCGAACTCAGTCATATCCATAGCACTTTTCACGTCTCCTAGTTACATAAATGTTTGGTGGACGATTCGGCAGTGGTACCTTTAGAGGATATTCAGGTCGATGACAGCCTGAATTACATTGAGCGGCCTGTGGCAATACTCGACCAAAAGTCAAAGGATCTGAGGAACAAGAGGGTCGGGCTGGTGAAGGTGCAATGGCAGCATCGGAAGGGCTCAGAGTGGACATGGGAGCCGGAGGACGAGATGATGGAGCATTAGCCAGAGCTTTTCCAGGAACGAGCAGCAGACTTCGAGGACGAAGTCTAAAATAAGTGGGGGAGATTTGTAGTACCTGGTTCCTGGTATGTATTTTATCTAAGTGTTTTGTGTTTTTGGCCTGGGACTCGGCGAGTTGAAGGCCCAACTCGTCGAGTAGAAGCGGATTTGATCCGGGATTTAAATGACGGACTCGTCGAGTCGGCTTCCAGACTCGACGAGTAGACTCTGACTGGACAAAACCCTAATATGAGGGTTTGCACCCCATTTAAACAACCTTATGCAGCCTCCATCCCCCCTTTATGCTCCTAGAACACTCCATACAGAACCCTAGTCGTGTTGTGAAGATCTAAAGGCCTTTTTGGTGATTCTTGGTAGCTTGTGGTGGCAAGAAGGAAGGGAAAAGCTTGAGGAATCAAGAGAAGACCAAGGGAGTTCATGTTTGTGCATCTTTTGCAGTTTCCAGAAGGTATAAAGTCATTCTTGGCAACCAACCATGATTGCAAGCATGGTTAGGGGTTGAGGCTTCAGATCTAGGTCCATGGAGGAGTTACAAGGCAGTAAAGGGCTGCTTTTTCACCCATGGAAGCCCCCATGCAACTTAAGAGCCTCTTTTAGAGCCTTTTTGGCTCAAAGTCCCATGTATGCACGTAAAGTTCGTAACTTTACGTGCTAGATCGAGTTTAGGGACCTAGATCTATCATTTGGACAAAGAGTTGTACACCAGAAATCGAGGAAATAGACTTGGGAATGTATCGACTCGGCGAGTCGTTCTTGGGACTCGGCGAGTCCGAGGCTTGGTTTCCCCTTTTCTGTTATGGTTCAAGAGACCCAGTTGAGTGATAGAAAGGTTTTAGAGGGTACAGGGGAGTGACCCAAACGTATTGGGATAAGCCATAGTCCTGGAGTTCATAGGACTCGGCGAGTGCATGAGCCGACTCGGCGAGTCCAAGGCAATCTCCCAACTCTTGAAGATGAACTCGACGAGTTGTTCATACAACTCGGCGAGTCGAGGACAGGACGTGTTCATAGGATGAAGATGAACTCGACGAGTGTTCATACCGCTCGGCGAGTCGGATGAAGGTTCATCCGGGGTTGAGTTAGAAGGAGAACTCGTCGAGTCGTTGCTAAACTCGACGAGTAAAGACGTGAATGAGGACGGTTGAAGAGATAGGGACTCGACGAGTTGGCGACCCAACTCGGCGAGTCGGGTCAACTGGAAGTTGACTTTGACTTTGACTTGGACTTGGTCAGGGGTAAAATGGTCATTTTACCCTAAGAATAGATATCAGACTCTGATTAAGTGTTTTGTGGGGATTATAGCCGGAGGATTTCCGGAGCAGCAGCAGACAGAGATTTCCCGCACAGATTATCAGCAGCTACTCGTTCGAGGTGAGTTACCTTCTAGTAGGGGTGGGTCTAAGGCCACAATGCCGGCCCACCAACAAGGATAGTTGTTAGATAATTGTCTTTGTGATAATTATCTTGGTATGGTTATGTGCTTTGGTCATGAGATATGCTTGTGTGATATGTTATGTGTGTTAATGGTAGTGGTAGGGATTAGTTTTTCCCTGGCATCGATCTTTAGGATCAAGGGGGTAGGTCAGTACCCAGTTATGCATGATTGTATGAATATACCTTATTATTGTATGATAATGGTAGGGGGTGAAATAGTCCCCAGTTACCGGTTGAAAGATACCGATGACAGTTACCGGTTGAAAGATACCGATGACAGATACCGGTTGAAAGATACCGATGACAAGTTACCGGTTGAAAGATACCGACGATATTATATGGTATGTGGTATGATGGGGGGAACTCACTAAGCTTTGTGCTTACAGTTTTAGTTTTGGTTTCAGGTACCTCTTTGTCTAAGGGGAATGAGCCGGCGGTGTAGCAGCGCATCACACACACACAAACATGATTTCCGCATGGAGTTTTCTGGGATTGTACTCTGATTTATTTTACTTGACATTATGATTTTTAGACACTTTGTTATATTTCTGTTTGCAAATGTTATGGCATGAAAAATGTTTTGGTAAACTATGTTGGGAATTTCTTAATTAAAAATGAAAAATTTAGGCTTGGAATTTGGGCTGTTACAGATCTTTAGTTCTTTGCAAATAGTTTTAGGTCACTTCTTGGTAGCTTTTGGTCATTTCTTGGTGTTTTTGGAGTCTCGACAACTCCAAAACACTAGGATGATTATTTTAACTTACATTTGAACCCCTTTAAACTATCATAATTTATATTATTTATATATATTTTTATCTTTTATTCATATTTGATATATATATATATATATATATATATATATTATTACTTATTTTATCAGTAAGTTTTAACCAATATAGTCGATAAATACCGACATTTTATATTATATTATTATATATATAAATTAAAACTAAGTATATGATTTTTTTAGGAATAATTTACTTAAAGTCAACAAACTATTCATATTTATTCAAAGTACTTTGTTGCTTTAAAGTTGATTAAAATAAGTCATTATGACTTTCTATAATTTAACTAACTATTATTTGCAAATTTACATTTAAACTTCATCTTTATTATGACGTTTGTCTTCGTGTCTTAATTTTTTTCTTTTACAATTTATTTATTTATTTTTATTTATTTATTATTATTATTTTAACTAGATAATGTGATTTGTAAACTTGTTGTAGATTTATATTATTTAGTTTTATTATTATTTTATTTTTTTAAAGATTTTTGGAAACAACTCTAAAAAAAGTTATACTTTCTTACATTATTATGATTTTTTTAAATGTAAAACTCGAGCTTTAAAAAATGTAAAAAATATTTTTTTTTAAAAGATGTATATAAATAAAGTTATAAGAAAATTTAAAACAAAACAACTTTGTTTGAAAAATTAAAAAAGTTCGTACAAGATTAAACAGAATAAAATGTAAGAAAAAAAAACACAAGACCAATATTGTGATAAAGATTAAGTTTGGTATCGAACAAAGCTGAGAGGGTTATTGATGTTTCATTTTTGCTTGATGATGGCAGTGGCACAGGTGACGTAGACTGCAATAGATGCTATTACAATTTTCTTATGCTCAATTGCTTATATTTCTGTCTTAATCTTTGTTTTTCCCAATATAATTTAGGTGGTTGTGATGTTTTAGGGTATATGAACCAGTACACAGAAAGGAGATGGAAGCAATAACATTCCTTCGATTCAGACTTTCTTTCAGGTTACAAAAGCCCCTATTCTTCTTCAATTTTTGTTTTACATTTATTTTGAAGCTAGGTTTTACCAATTTTGGGTAATTCACATCCATCTTCTTGCTGTTTCTTCTCCGATCAGGTGTATCTCATATTTCAAGGTCGATGAGGACCCTTTACTCGCTTCCTGTGGAATCACTATTGAGTAACAACTTGCTCAACTTGAGGGTCGTGTTCTTGAGGCACCAAAGGTTTGTGTGATAGGATAGGGGTATTTCCGTAATTTCATATCAGGTTTCTTTTCAATTTAAAATAAGCACAACCAACTCCAGTAATCAATTTACATGTATTTAGGCATCTATGTGTTCGAACAAACAGAGGATCATAAGACACTAACTACTTCTTGATGTTACATCAGAGTTTTAATCAGATTGTGTTCTTCAAAGTATTGACTCCATGAATGGAATTGAAATTTTTTTTACATTTATTTTGCAGCAGTTTAGCAAGGACTCTGGAAATCTCATCACCTTTTTTTTTTTTTTTTTTTTTTTTTTTAATTTTACTAATAACGTAATATATCAGGGATGGATTGGGATTGAAGTTGAAGTTCTTACCGTATTTGAATAATTACATTTTTTATGATTTGGGCTTTATAGGTCTTCGATATCAATAAGTGATTTTCTAGCCCTCACCACAGAAGTTGCAACCAGTGTTTTCATGGCAGCTTCTACGAACCTGTTTCTGTACATACCCTGCTCTTATGTTTGATAAAATGCATCTGAGAAATTTATCTCTCGGATTCTTAAGCGATATAAGGTGGATTGGGGTCTGATTTTGCGAATTTGTTTGTTGTAATTTAGTTGGTTTGTGGGTGTGTATGTTTTGACATGAAGATTTAGACGTTTTTGAAAAATAATTTGTAGTTTTTTTTTTTTGGATTTCAATGTGATTGTTTGTGTTTCCTTGAACAGTTTCTATGCAATGTACCTTGTACAGAATGGGCTGATTGATCTTTCATCAACTACTATACCCTGTAGTGAATTGGCTTCTCATGGTGCTAATGAGCACTCTGAAACCCACAATGGTAATCTTATCTTCTAAACAAATTTATGATTATTTATCACAGTTTTTTGAGTTTGATCAATGTATGCCTCCTTTTTCAGGTTCACTTGCATTTCTCCTTTTGCGTTACTCAGAAGCCTTAACTTCAAGAACTTTCTGTTCAAGTGATTCATCTGTTACTGATAAACAAACATTTAATTTTGGATATGAAAAGATGGAATCTGTATTTCATCCAGATGTTTTCCCAGCACATGTTAGTTATTGATTAGCAATTCATGGAGGTATAGATACTCGAGATTTTATGTCATTTAGCCAGCATGGAAAAAAATCAACAAGGAAGAAGAATCTCAATCAGAGGTATATTATTATATTTTAATATTTTCACTTCATTATATCATATAATTTTATTATTGATGATTCGGTTAAAAAGTAATATAATTGATTTGAGTAGGTTACTTGGAGACGCTGGCTGCAGGTTTCAGAAATTGAAAGGGTCAACAAGTTGATTGGTTTTGGATAAGATTGCCAATAAGGCGTTCGTTGAAATGCCCGACCCAATTAAGGTATTCATTCCACCTTACGTTAGATTACTGGATTATATTTGTTCGATCATCTATTTTCTTCCGTTATGATTAACGGGATCATCATTTGGATTTTTGAGATGCAAGACCACTTTGTTTTGCATTTATTGGCTTACAAATCTGCTCAGATAGCTGATATTGGTAATTACTATCTGTTTTAATAATCTTCCGTAATTAATGAGACAAGAGTTATACTCTGACGAAATAATTCTCCATGAAACTTAAAATATGAATACAACATTGGCTTAATGACTATTTTTGTTGATGGAGGTTTGGAACTAAAAAAATCATTTCATTTTACATTTCAAGTCTTCCCAGTTATGTAGGTATCGCATGATTTGTAGGGCTATTTTTAATCTGGATTTTTATTTAGACATAGACATAAATTTGGAAATTAATTTAAGAATTTAGTTTTTCTTTATTTTTTTTCCACAGATAAAATTGGGTGAACCTGGGTACAAGGAAAGATATTATAAGGAGAAGGTAAATTTATCACATCTAAAGGAGATTGAAGAGGTTAAAAGGGAAATGGTGAGTTACTTTGAGTCTTTTAAGTTTTACCATAAGTTTGATTAATAAACAAAAATTAAAAATGAATGACCGCACCAACTACTAAGGCTGCAGATCATGTTGTTCCTATTAACTGTTGATTGTCCAACGTGGGCTGATAAGTCGAACTGATGATGATAAAGCAAGTAGGACAGCATTGACTCCAGTAAAGAAAAGATGTTGAACTGGATGAAGAAAAAGGACAAATTCTCTTGCAAATATGTGGCTTTCCCCATTGTTTAGTGGCAACTCATTCTTTAAATTCATCAATCTTAGCTTTGCTATTCAATCATGGATGGAAGGATTGTATCTAATCTTCTTTCATGTTCAGATATACATAGAGAAGACTGCCCTGTATTTTATGAGTACAAAGTATGTGGTGTTTGCTTTTTTATAAAGTTTGTCTTATATTTTAAAAAATTAATTACATTCTTGCCATTTTCAAAGATTCTTGAAGGCAAAGCTTATCGTCTAAATCATCCATGGGTGGGAACTATGAACAAATCAGAAGCTGAATGGAACAAGAGTATTTTTATACAAGTACTGATTATGGACACCTGGTGAGTAAAATGGGTTCAAAATATCTACTAAAGCTTTTAAGTTTCAACACCGCAATCTTATATAATTATTTCAGGACCATAATCTTGACTTTTATTTATTTATGTATTTCAGATGCTTAATTATTTGTCGATTTCTGTGGATGATAATACCTCATGGACTTTAATACTGGCTGCACTCTCTGATCAAGTGACCTTCCCACTTCCTTTGTATTTTCTTTAACTAAGCTTTGTTTTTTTTAATATAATTGTTATAGCATTGTACTTTTTAACTTTCTTTTTCAAGATGTTATATAAAATTTTCAAGAGCATTTAGGAAAATTAATCCAACCCAGCGCCAACGGCGCAAGTAATTCCTACTAGTTTATTTTCAAAGGGTAAAATTCTAATAAAAAATATTTTCTTTTTCAGAAATTAATATTTTAGTCAAATTTATGAAAAAGTCACATTTACAAAAAAACACAGAATACCGGCTAAAACTTTGAAGAAACCCTTTTTGGCCGGTTTCGCAGATTTAGCCGGTATTTTATCCTTTTTCGTTAGTTTGGTCAAAATATTATGACTTTTCTAAAAATTACCCAATAATCAAAATATTAGGACTTTTTTGAAAATTACCACTGAATTGATGAATATTATTAACAAATCATTTATAAACATAACTAATATTTTTTATTATGAACAAAGGAAAAACATTTGTTGCTAATTTCTAGAAATAGAATGGTGGACTAATTACTCATTTATTGTTTGGCGACCACTTCAAACTCTCTACGTTCCATTTATGCATCATTGTGGGTGTCATGGTGAGATGTATTCTGTTCGTTTCTCTAGTTAAATACAAAAGTTAATATTATTTACTAATAATCAAATTACTTAATAAACAATAAGTGTCTATTTTCTATAAGATGTGATGTTATAGGATCACATGTTATTAGAAAACATCATTACACAATGATTCTTGAACATATAGATATTTAATTGTGTTTTTTAACCTAACCTCCATATATTACCTAATAACAACCATCAAATTACACCCATCCATTGAGAGTGAAAAATGAACTTTGAAAGACAATTTAAATAGATAATCACCCTTCACCTGGTTCCATATAAACTGTCATTTACGGTTCACTTTTCACATTCGATAGATGTGTATTAGCCGATGGTTGTTACCATGTGAGGTATGAATGTTGAGTGCCTTAGACCTGCTAACCAAGTGAGGAAACTCACCTTGAATGCTGAATCTTACAGAAGATCCCTAGCCGTTGTCCTGACGACTCCCCGAGCTATAAGTACAAAATAACACCCAATTAACACTTGGGTTCCAATCTATATCCAATAATCCATACTTGGGGTAAAATGACCATTTTACCCCTAGCCTAGCTTGATCCAAGACTAAGTTCCGAATCCACAATCTAAAAGGCCCAATACCAAATAATCCTCCAAAGCCCACTTATGGCCTAATTTTCCAAATTGGGCCCAAACCCCCTATATGGGTCTTTACCTTAAAGCCCAATAATTTTCCTTAGTCCAAAAGCTTGATTTTGGACGGCCCATTAAGGCCCAAAGCAACAAAGTCCAAAGAAGTGGCCCATTCGAGGCCCATTTAGATGCGAAGCCCAACATACTGAGTACGTGGGGCGTACTTAGATGTACGCTAAGCGTACTCGCTGTTTGACTTGTATGTTGCGCGTACAGACTTGTACGCCCAACGTACTCATCCATTAAGCCAACTTTTCCATTAAGCCCTTAATGCTTAAGTCTAAAGGTCCAAACCACAGATCTGAGTCCCAAAACGCGTCTATAACCATAAAGTCATTGACTTGGTGACTTTGTATGCCCCAAAATATCCCAACTTCGAAAGTTAGCATTCTACTTCCATTAGATGAACTCAAACTCATGCATGGGGGATTCTAAGCCCTAAATGAGACAACTTTATGAATCTAAAACCATAAAAATACCAAGAGTGGCAACTCTAAGCTCGTGGAGTGGTATCAACTACTAGATCTCATCAATGAGACCAAAAAGGGTCCAAAACTCAAACAAGGAAGATCTAAGCTATCATTGATCAAGTTCAAAGCTTTTTTTTACCTCAAATAATCTGGAAATAAAGCAAAAGGTCGAGATCCACAAGCTCCTCCTTGGTCCACTACCTTGCACCAAGCTTCTACTTCTTGAATATGGAGGAAAACTCTAACACTCCAAATCAGATAAACCATTTTAATCCCTTTAAATAATTCAGTTAGCAAAATTGGTCCCTTTTAGTACGCCGGGCGTACCTAAGGGTACGCTTAGCGTACCATGGAAAAAGGATCTCGGAGGAGTTTTGCGTACGCGGGGCGTATGCGACAGAGGACCAAACCCTAATTTCCGGACTTAAGACCTATATAAGCATGCTTATCTCATTTGAGCCTCACCCTAACTAGCCTCCTTCACCCTCAAACGTCCCTGAAAACCCTAAAATCATTAGAGTGTGTGTTCTTGAGCTTGTGAGTGTTTAAACACCATCCTTTTGGTGTGTTAGCTACAAGGAAGAGGAGGAAACAAGCTTGAACGAAGAAGAGCTTTTGGATCTTACATTTTGAGCAGCCTAGGAAGCTTAAGGAGGTAAAAAGCTTTCACCTTGGTAATTATTTTCATTTCTAGAGCTAGGGTTTTCTCTTTAGTCCCTTTTTGTGTTCTTGGACCACCTCTTGAGAGTTTGAGCAACTCCAGAGCTTAGGGAGGATATATATGAGGTCTTTTGGTCCATTCCTAGCATAAAAATGGAGTCTTGATGCGTGTTTTGACCTCATGCATGGATTAAGACTCTTGGAAAGGTCTTAATGGGTTGTTGGGAGCATATGGAACATGCAAATGCATAAAGTTGCCAACTTTATGCCTTAGAACGTCTTAATGAACTCAGATCCAAAGATTGGACGTTGGAACATCAAGTATTAAGCACTTAATGGAAAATGTGCTTAATCTGTTTGTATGATGGGCGTAGCATAGTGTACGCAACACGTACAACTCAAGGACTCAGTATGCTAAGCGTACAGAAGTGGTACGCAGGGCGTACGCACTCAGATGGACTTGGACTTGTTTTGGGCTTGAAAGCCCTTTGGGCCTTAATCAGTCATTGGGCCTGGACATGTTTTGTGTTAGTGGGTCAATTTATCTGTTTTGGGCCATGGTTGCTAAAGTTGGGCCTTATTGGTCCATGAGGCTCATTAATTATTTTGGACATGGACTTTGGGCCCATTAGCAAAGGAAGACTTTTGGGCCATTGTGAAAGGACTTGGGGCTTGGATTCTTTAATTGGATTATGTTCAGCCCTAACCTTGGGTTAATGGTATTATTGTTCAGCACGGGTGGTTACAAACTGTTAAGAAAGCAGCTTTCGGATTCAACAGACAGAGGTGAGTCCTCACCATACCAATGGGTCTAAGGCACCAAGGTCGGCCCATTATTGTTATGTGATATGCTAGTTGGTTATGGGATATGTGGTATGCTAGTTATATGTGATACTTGCATGAAGGACCTCGGGGGGGGGGGGGGGGGTCCCGAGGCACTTAGGTGTAAGAACCTGGAGGGCTTCCAGGGCATCCTTGGGCTAAGACCTCGGGGGGTTCCCGCGACACCCGTAGTAAGACCTTGGAGGGTTTCCAGGGCATCCTTATATGTTTGTACGTATGGTTTATATGGTAGTGGGCTAAGACATCGGGGGGTTCCCGAGGCACCCAGAGTAAGACCCTGGAGGGTTTCCAAGGCATCCTTGGGCTAGGAACTCGGGGGGTTCCCGAGGCACCCGGAGTAAGACCTTGGAGGGTTTCCAGGGCATCCCTATATGTTGTATGCATGGCTTACGTGGTTTATGTATCTTTTATAGCTACTCTGGTTTATATGATTATGTAGATTGTGTATGGGGTGTGCTCTAGGGAACTCACTAAGCATTAGCTTACAGTTTGTTGATTGTTTCAGGTACTTCTGAGCCTAAGGGCAAGGGCAAGGCTTGATGGCGCGTCATGCACTCTCCGACATTTGATTTGATGGGACACTCTGATATTTGAAATAAAATGTTGATGTTATGGATTTGAAAACAATTGCTATTGATATTTTACATTTTATGAGAATGTTTTGGTTAATTAAAAATTAAAATTTTATTTGAAAATTTGGATCGTTACAAAAACACACAAAGTGGACACTATAAGCTCAAAATGAAAGAGAGAGCTTTAGGGTTTTGAATATGATGCTTAAGGGTCTGAGGAGGCTGAGAAATGAGGGTTTCTTAGGCCATAATGATGAATATATAGTGTCCAACCCCGAAATTAGGGTTTTCAAATATGCCAGGTACACCTCGCGTACATATACATACGCCCCGCGTACGTGTCCGGATGTTCAACTAACCCTCGCATGAGTACGCTAAGCGTACCATGTGGTACGCCCCGCGTACTTGCTTTGCAGCTTGTACGCCAAGCGTACCATGTGGCACGCCCCGCATACAACATAAAGACCAATTTGCAATTTGTTAAATACATAAGGGCCATAAATAACATACCAGTATTTCAAGTGTTACATTTCTCCCCCACTTAAAGCAGACTTCGTCCTCGAAGTCCGGTGCCCGAACAACTCCGGATAGTGCTCTCTCATCTCATCCTCGGGCTCCCAAGTGCACTCCGATCCCTTGCGGTGTTGCCACTGCACCTTCACCAGCTCGACAACCTTGCTCCTCAGGGTCTTCGTCTTCTGATCCAAGATCGCCACCGGTCTCTCGATATAATTCAGTCGGTCATCCACCTGAATATCCTCCACTGGTACCACTGCGGAATCATCCACTAAACACTTCCGCAACTGAGAGACATGAAACATGCTATGAATCATCCACTAAAAAGATTTGCGGCCCAAAAACTTTCAACACGTCGAGTTGAGGCCATCAACTCGACGAGTTCCAAGGAAATTTTGCCTTTTTAATAAAAATTCACATACCTGAGAATCGGGATGTTACACAAAAGGTCTAAACATTACCTCCTTAAGGCTCAAAGCCTTTACACAATAGACTTCCAGCCCACGGCCCTGAAATAAGAAATGACGGGACACATGATGTTACAATATATATATATATATATATATATATATATATGTATATTATTATGTGAGAGTCATGTATCAAAGCATAACAAAGAGAAAGAAAGAAGAGGATTACGTGAATTATAGTCTTAAGTAAGATGATGTACATGTGGTTATACACTTAAGATCATGTATCTGAGCATGTATATATAAACCAACTATGTAGAGATATATAGATAAAGAACAAGGGTGTTATAAGTAATACCCTTAAAAGTATATAAGAAAGTATGGGATTATATGTTTTATAATCATATGTAAGAATAGATGATGAGAAAAAGTATATGTGGATACCTAAGAGAGTTCATATAGAGATAGAGAATGATTATATGTAGTATAATCATAAGTGTACGTATATATGCCTATAAATAATGGTATTTTGTAGAATACTTATATGTTACTAGACATAGATAAAGACCAAGTACTTAATGAGTTAAGTAGTAGAAGTGTAATAGAAGATCTATTGATGAGATAAAGAGATAGCATGTCCATGAGACAAATATTATATGACGAGTCGCATAATAGATATAGAGTTGTGTAGAAAGATGATTCATTCGGGAATGAGATAGATGTTCCTTCGGGGACAATAGTATGATTCCTTCGGGAAATAGATGGCGGTTGCTTAGGAAACATAGATACATGACCCCTTTTGGGATGTAGAGAGATGATTCATGCGGGAATTAAAGATTATGTATGAATAGAAAATATAGATAAAAGATTCCGTGAGCAGAACAAGGTAATGGAGTTCTTTTAAGAACTTAGAAATAACTCGTGAGGGGTTAAGAGTAAGGAATCCATGAGGGATTCAAGAGTAAGAAGAAAGATTAAGGATCCATGAGGGATCATTAGAGAGAGAGAGAGAGCGAGAGAAATAAAGAAAGAGAAAGAAAAGAGAGGAAATACCGGATAAGAATATCCAGTAACGTTAGTGGGATGTTGATTCCCTTAGAAGGTAGAGAAGATCAGAGTATGAGATGTGACCGTTGGGTCTAGATGAGAACATAGTGTTGAGGCACTAGAGATGAGAGTAGAGTAGAGAAAAAGTAGAGAATAGATAAAGCAGAGAAGTGAAAGAGCAGAGAACAGAGTTAGAGACAGAGATAGAGTATATACAAGGTATGAGATGAGCCTAAGAAGAGGCTAAGAAAGATAGAAGAGATAGAAGATTGGTAAGAATAACATTGTGTGCTATTGGGGAAGATAGTAGAAGATAGAGTACGAGAATGAGAGAATAGAATGTTGAGGCATGAGAAAAGATAAAAGAATAAAGATAGGTTTGATGAGATGAGAAAAATTGGCAGTCCATTCCATGAGAAAAAGAGTTTAAGATGTAGAGTATGGGATAGAAGTGAAGATGAAAGATTAGAGTATGAAAGATAGAAAGAGCAGATGAACATGAAAACAGAACGAATATAACTCATCGGACATTGTTGTCTGATGTTGTAGAGATGTTCTATGTTTTGCAGGTTCATGTAGCAGCATTTGTAGTACTAGAAGTGAAGACAGGAGCACAAGGACTTGGAATAGGTTTTATTTCCTTGTTGTTCCAATTTGTATGAAGATTTTCATTATAAACTTGTGACTATCCATGGGAAATAAAATGTTTTTATTTTTATGAGTTAATAGAATTCCACAAATTTTTAGTAATAACTCTGATAATCTCATTAGATTAGATGATAGAAAGTATAGTTTGTTACAACACGGTTCGTGTAATGCATTACATGCTCTATGTTTCCCTTTACAAAGCACAACTTAATTCTAATTCAACCCCTTCTCTAACTTTTAATGTTAATATTTTTCATACAGACTCCATTTTAGTCGATTCTTTTGCTCATACATTCTATATTATCATGGCTACATTTCAAGATAAAAAATTTAGTCATTTTGTTTAACAACCATAGAAATTAGGTCATCGTTAAACGAACAATGTTAACCTAATCACTGTTGTAATAGACCTAATGAGTAACTAAGTTGTGGTTTTGTTGTTTATAGGGTTTTATGCTATAAAATACATCCAAAATATCAATCAAGTCTTGGATTGATATGAATCCTTAATAAATGAACAGTTTCAGTATACATAAGGAATGGGTTAATACATATGATTGAAAGATATATATATATATATATATATATATATATATATATATATATATATATATATATATATATATATATATATATATATATATATATATTAGACATTATTATGGGGAATTTGGAAAAGATATGATATAGTAGGATTGTATTGTAAATAAATCTATATCAATACCCAATGCAATAGTCTTACTATGGAACCTTGAATTAAGGAATAATTTTAGTATTAGGCAATACTACGAGAATAATAACCAAAATCTTGATATCAAAGTTAGAGTTATTAATATGCTTTAAATTCATATGAGCCTTCTATTCATCAATGTAAGTATCACTGTACTTAGAAAGACCTATGGCTTATAACCGTTAATTGAAAGAGCGGGAAAATTATGTATAAATCTATACAGGTTGACACCCCTACCTACGGTTGCTAGCTACAACCTTGACGGTCAAGTCACACTGGGTGATAATTGTCTTTTCTACTATTTGACGCCCTGATGAAGCATCGGGAGAGGCATATCAGCCTGAAATAGCTCAGTTATGGCACTCACAGTGAATGGAATATGTATAGGAAACTCGAAATACCTATAACATATAAAGGAATATAGGAAACTTGAAAAACCTATAAGGAATATCTTTTTATCAAGAACTTAGTCTTAGAAGTCGGGATAATAAAGATACATTATATATAGGATATTAATCTATCTATATATCCAATTAAGGTTTTTTAGTCTCAAAAAGTACTTACCAACTCTAATATAGCTATACTTTAGGGAGAAAGTATGTTTTGATTCAGCTATTACAAACCTGTGAACTCACCAACTTTTTAGTTGACACTCTTTCAAAACGCATGTATTCTCAGGAGGTTAAGTTATTTGAAGATATGTCTCAAGAAGGATCATGGGATCGCATGCTTCTTTTATATTTTAGTATTCCCTTTGTTGCCTATATGTTAAGACTTGTTTTGTACCTTTTGATTTCTTGTACCCTAGACTAGGTGATATTGTAATCTACACTTTCAATGAATAAAAGTATCTATTCTACTACCGTATTGTTGTATGTTAAATTATGCTTATTACTTTGATCCATGATGTCGTCTCACCGCCTGATGTTTCCGCTGCCGGCTGGGGGTGTGACATTTTGACTCAATTAAGTCATGCTTTCATAGTCTCAAACATCGGCTATCGACAAAAAGTTTATATGTACCAAATCAACAAATTCTCCCAAAATAATACAACTTTTCATACCATTATATTATGGTATTATCGGAATATACAATAGTTGTTATTATACGACCAACTATTTTTTAAAGAATAAATACACCATGGCTTATCGCTAAGTTTTTCAAAACGTCGTGTCAGTGGCGGATCCAAAAAAAAAGTCAGGGGTTGCACTACTAGTAAAAACTCATTTCTGAAGGCAGTTTCCGTCACAAAATCATCAATAAACCAACAAATTTACACTAAATTCACAATTATCAGACTTTGTGATGGAATGCCAACGGATTCGTGATAGATTTTTGACGGATTTTGACGAATTTTCAATAAATTTACATTTGACGGGAAAATTTGAGGGGTAGTCTGTGCTACACCGTACAACATAGTAATTTCGCCCTTGCGTGGTGTTACAAGATGACTATATATGCGACTTTAGAGTGCAGATCGGCGGCAACTGCAATTTTCCGATGGCGTCCAAAGACAGTTGATGATGCAGATCGACGACGTCCAAAGGTTTCCGAAGGTGGTCCGATGTCAACTGATTTAGGGTTTTCTTCCATTGGTATAGATAACAAAGAGGGTCAGTAAATAAATATATCAAATTATTGGGTTTAGGAATAGGTGGGGTG